CGCGCGGAACAGTGTGGGAGGAGGAGAGGAGGACGAGGAGGAGGAGAACGACGAGGGAGGAGGAGGCCTCAGTGAGGCGCGCACCGTGGGAGCGAAACGCGCGGAATAGTGCGCGGGGGAGGGGGGAGGGGGGGCAGGCCGCACCAGCTTGCGGCAGCAGTGCGCCTCCAAGTGTCCTTGACCACTGCAGGCAGACCTGGGCCAGGAGAGCATCCTGCAAGAACACGAGACCCTCCGTCGGTCAAAGCAGTCAGACCGTCCAAGGGTGCCCTCCCCAGGATGCACAAGAAAATCCAGGGAGCACGAGGAACACTCATACCTCGGGCCCGATTGTAAGAAGGAAGTGTGGCTGGAGGCGTAGCGTGTATGCGAGATACCAACCCTGCATCTGCGCACCGCTCGCGGGAACTGGATGCGATGCACGATGCGTTCTGGGCCCTTCGGCCGACTGGCGTGGCCCAAAATGATGGAAGCATAAGGTCTCAACATGCGGCCATCCAGATTCTTGACTTCTGCAACTCCGCGGACAACATGTGCCAGGACCTGGGCGATGGCGCCCGCCACTCCGCGGCCAGGGCATCCACGGCAGCGTTGACGACAAGGACTTGCGGAACTCGGAGACACTGCATAGACGAGAGAGCTTCGCATCAGCCTGGGCACAATGGCTGGGCCTGCAAAGAAAACGGAAGCACCATGACCGAAAGTCAAGCAATTGGCAGAGCTCCCACCACAGGTCGACACAAGCCGTGTGGCGGTTTATGTAGTCTGTGAGTGCGTCTTGCTTCCCGAAACGTGCTCGCGCAAACAACGAGAGAGCAAGCGAGCGTCCATCCGGCTCTACTGTGAGTAGAGCCACGCACGTTGGGGCGGGACGAGAAGAACTGTAGCCCTCGGAAATGCGCTGACGCACCGGCTCTCTCTGCATTACTCCATTATGAAATATGGTTCGCCGTGTGTGTTTGCTCGAGAACCGCACTCTGGACACCGACGCGTTTTCTGGCCCAAGACTGAAACTTGCAAAGAAAAACGGATCCCCGTGTATACAGATCATGTTTCGCCATCTCCCGACCTGTTCCCCGGGATCGGTTTTTCATCCTGCGTCGCTTTGTTGACGGCCCCGAGGCCCGGCCAGGGCGCCCTGAGGCCGAAGCTGGCCATTCGTGTTCCGTCCTGATTTTTTTGCGATCACGTCTGGGCTGGCTGGTAAGTACCCGTCGCTCCTGGTCCGTCTCTGGCGGCCCCAGCCCGGCGGTCTCGGCGGTCTTCGGGGGTCCTCCGGCGGTCCTCGGCGGTTTTTGCGGCCGTCTGCAGCGGCTTCCGGCGGTCGTCCGCGCGAACGCTGGACGCTTGCGGTCAACCAGGGGTCCACAATTCACCACCCACCAAACCACCCCAACCCTACCCGAAGGCCTCAGTTTGCCCTCTGTTGCCAGGGGGGGGGGTCGGGGAATTGGAGAACACACATCTGGAACCCGTAATTCCCCCCCCAAACCCGAAGTTTGGGTATTCGGGTCGGGTTGGGGTGGCTTGTTAGGTAGTCAATAATCGAACACCTCACGTTAAATCGGGCCTGTCCCTCTTCAGGAGGAATATTCAAAAATGGTGAACAATTATATAGGGGGAGATGTTTGACATGTTTTGTGTTTGTTTGAATATGTTATAATTTTCCTCCAAAATCCGCGTGTAGGGAGACATGCCCGACCTAAACCTAACGGGACCCCCTCCCTCCCCAGGGGTAGCGCTGGCGACCGCACTGGGCGCGGATGCCTGGATCCCCCCCCAAATGCCAGGGTGAAGTCGGGCATGTCCCTCTACAGGAGGAATATTCCAGAATAGTCAAACAATAAGTAGTCTTGAGATAATGTTTGAGCATTTTATGTTTGTTTGTTTCATAGTTGTTACATCTGTTCTGTCTTTCTTCCCAACTCCGCCCTTTGGAGGACATGCCCGCCCCTACATGCTATGGGGCGGACCCCCCTCTTGTACGGCGCTGCGCTGGTGGCGCGGACGCACCGTGGCTCGAGCGACCGTTACCCAGGAAGGGAAAAACGCTCACCTTGGATGATTCAGGAGGGGGGAAATCACACAGACACGACTAATCGTGGACTCCCAGGAAAACATTGTAAAATATGGGAAGTGGGGGGAAGACGAAACTTTATAATATGGGAGAAATATGAGGGAATTCTGGGATTCGTGTCTATTTGCTGGTGTGTCCCATGGCTCCTGCCATGATGTCTAAGATTCTTGTGACGTGCCTTTTGCAGTCGGGCAGGTCGATTCGGGGGGAGGGTGCCCCCGTGTTCTTCGTGCCTGTTGGCGGCTCGCCCGTGCCTCCCCGGGAGGGTGACCCCGTTGGGTGTTCTGCCTGCTTTGGGCGGACGGAGGACCTCCTCCTCCGCCTCCTCCTCCTTCGCCCCCCTCCTCGTCGTCCTGCTCCTCTCCTCCTCCTCCTCCTCCTCCTCCCTCCCTCCCTCCCTCCCTCCCTCCCTCCTCCCTCCTTCCTCCTCCCTCCTCCCTCATCCCTCCCTCCCTCCCACTACTCCCTCCCTCCCTCCTACTACATCCCCCTTCTTCCCAACTCCCTACTCCCTCCTCCTCCTCCTTCTCCTCCTCCTCCTCATCCTCCTCCTCGTCCTCCTCCTCCTCCTCCTTCCTCCTCCCCCCTCCCACCTCCCTCCAACCTCCTCCCTCCTCCCCCTCGTTCCTGCCAACTCCTACTCCTCCTCGTCCTCCTCCCTCCTCTCTCCTCCACCTCCTCCTCCCCCTCCTCATCCCCTTCCTCCTCTTTTCAATGTTCGTCTCTTTCGCCTATGTGTGTGTGTGTGTGTGGGTTCCTCTTGTGCTGCTTATGTTCAATACTTCTGATCGCTTACCCTAACTATTATGAGTACTGGTTATCATTATCTGCTGCAATATTAAACTGACCAGTATGTTCATTATTCGTACCCGTCAAATTATTAGTGATACGATTGAGATGTGTGGTATGATCACCAGTACTATCATCAGTTCTACCACTATTACCATTTATATTACTGATTGTATTATCACCCTTCTATTACAGAGTCGGTTTCGTAATAACCCTATTAGTCGTACTATGATGATCATGATTGTTCGTATTCGTATGCTGATTGTTCTTCTACTACTACGAGTAATAGTCGTATTGCCAATATTCCTCTCACACTCCTCCTCCCCCTCCGCGGCCGCTTCCGCCTTCGCCTCCGCCTCCGCTTCCGCCTCCGCCTCCGCCTCCGCCTCCGCCCCGTTCCTCCCTCCTCCCGCCTCCCTCCTCCCTCCTCCCGCCGCCTCCTCCCTCCGCCCCTTCCCGCCTCCCTCCTCCCTCCTCCTGCCTCCTCCTCCCTCCGCCCCTTCCCGCCTCCTCCTCCTCCTCCCTCTCCCTCCTGCCCTCCTCCCTCCTCCCTCCTCCACCACCTCCTCCTTCTCCTCTTCATCCTCGTCTTCCTCTCCTCCGCTCCTCCTCCTCTCCTCCTCCTCCTCCCCTCCTCCTCCCTCCTCCTCCTCCACCTCCCCTCCTCCTCCTCCTCCTCCTCCTCCTCCTCCTCCTCCTCCTCCTACCTCCTCCTCCTCCTCCTCCCCCCCCTCCACCTCCTCCTCTTTCCTCCTCCGTCCCTCCGCCTCCTCCTCCTCCTCCTCCTCCTCCTCTCCTCCTCCAACTCCCTCCGTCCCCCCGCCTCCCCCTCCGCCTCCTCCCCCTCCGTCCTACTCCGCCTCCTCCGTCCTCCTCCGCCTCCCTCCCTCTTCTCCTCCCTCTTCGCCTCCCCGTCTCCTTCCTCCTCCTTCCTCCTCCTCCTCATCCTCCTCCTCCTCCTCCTCGTCCTCGTCCTCGTCCTCGTCGCTCGTCCTCGTCCGCGTTCCCTCCTCCTCCTCCTCCTCCTCCTCCTCCTCCTCCTCGTCTCGTCCTCCTCTCCTCTCCTACATACCTCCTCCTCCTCTCCGCCTCCTCCGCCTCCTCCTCCTCCTCCTCCGCCTCCTCCTCCTCCTCCTCCGCCTCCTCCGCCTCCTCCGCTTCCTCCCCCTCCTCCCCCTACATACATACAAGGCCTACAGAAACGGAATCCATTCAAAGAACGGGAGACCGCTACCCCACAGTGGGGGTGTGGAAGCACCAGACCTCGCCCGCTCTGGGAGCGACACGAGGGGGTGCAGGGGTAAGGCGGAATTAAGGGCCGCAGTGCAGGTGGAGGGCAGTAAGCCCCGCTTTGACCTTCCACGGCTTGGAAAACCGCACCCCCTTAGGAAATGGAAGCTTGCAGTCGCGTAGCATGCGCAACTGCGACACCTTGTGGGTCGTACACGGGGCAAGGAGATGCGCAGCACGACCAGTGGTGTAAGACCCACAACGGTTACAATATAATACGGCGGCCCCTGTCGTCTCAATACGGCCAGCCCACAACTCATGTGCTGGCACAGTGGGCTCAGAAGGGGTGAGCACACACTGAAGAGACGACGGCAGAGGCGTGCAGGGGCCTCGGCGGCATGCCCAAGGCTTTGTGGCCGAACGCCCACAATCTATGCACTGCCATCTGTTCAAGGTCCACCTGAAACTGTGACGGCTAGGCACCCTGGACGAATTTTTCGGGGCCCTGGGGACCCTGGCCAAATCCACAAAAACATCGCGGGCTCGGCCCCAGGGCCCCAACAAGGTCACAAAAGCCTGAAAAAAAAAACATCCAGCCAGAGCTTATAAGTGTCTTCAACTCTTACAATATCAGAGGGGTTTAACTGATTTGTGGCAATTTCCTTAGCGAGAGTGTCAGCCCAGGCGTTCCCCAAAATCCTCCTGTGCTCATCCAAGCTCCTATCTCCACGAAGCAGAGACTGGTGGGCTTTGATCTTATGGATGGTCCAGCCCTGCATGTCCGTGTTGAGATTTATCTGCCTCCAGTGTCCAGCCTGCTGCCTACGACCATCACGGGATCGCAATGCAGAGGCTGCACCATGAACAACAGCAGCACAATCTTGAAAAACATGCACGGGCTCAT